TTTCATCAAAATCTCATAATTTTTCAATTAATTCTTGAATTTTTGAAATAAAAAAATGAAAATTTTTAATTAATTTCAAACTGTTGTGTTTTGATTTAATTATGTTGTTAGTATGAAAACTATACGTTTATTAATTTTTAAAACTTTATTTTTCAATAGTTTTCAAAAACTTTGCCCATTAGGATTGGTTTAGAGAACCTTGAGATATTGAGGACTCAATTGAGTTTTGGGATTGATTATATTGCATACATGTGTTTTAAAATTGTAGGTTATTCTTTCCATTCCGATTACCATAGATCATGTCTCACAAACGTTCTAGACCTTCCTCTAGTCGTTCTAGCCAACCTCCAAACTCACCTCCAAATCCTCCACTATCCAACAAATTCCTAATCCTAATCCCGATGATCCAAACATGACCATTCGCAATTCTTGCTTCAATGAACCCGGTCGTAAACAAAATCTCTACTTTAGGTTTTGTCAATACTTTGAGTCCTACAAAATCCGGGAAGAACGCATCCCATCTCTTCAAGCCATGTTAGACATCAATTTCGACATCTTCCTACTCTTCAAGAGTGGAAATTTGACAAACTTTTTGAGCTTGAACCAATAGTCTACCATCAACTCGTTCATATCTTCTACTCTAATGCCGTTTGCATTCAAAACCGGGAGAAAACCTTTACCATAGGAATTCGATCCTATATTCTAGGACGATTCTTTCATCTTGACCCGGAATACATAGCTAAAGCATTAGGATTAGATAATGGCGGGTTAGACAATGAAAAACTGACGGTAGGATCTCAGTATAAACGAAGGGATAGAGCAAGTGTGTTAGATCTTCATGAACTTTTTCTTTATCTCATGATCTCTTGGTGGTTTCGACCATCCGGAGGCCGTTACTCTACTCTCCGAGCCATGATTTATTTTGGCTACATTGTGTCCAAAATAATCTTAAAATCAACCTTCCACAATTATCTTTTCTGAACTTGTCGAAACCGTAAATCTTGTTCCCAATAAGAAATTATGTTCTTCTTTAGTTTACGGTTGTATTCTTAGTAATCTGTTTAAAAAGGATGGGCTTAGAGTTGGTCTTGATGCTTCTTTTCCCCTAAAAAACCAAATCAACCGCTTCTCTTTAACCAAATCGGTATGGAAGTTCAATGAAGAGACTGGTCTTTGGGTTCGTGAACATCCTCCGGAAGCCGATGACTCCGACGATGAGTAAGAACAACACGAGGAACAGGCTCCACCAGAGGAACAGGCTCCACCAGAGGAACAAGCACGACCAGAGGATCAAATGCCTCCATACTTTCAATCATTTATGGAGACATTTGATTTCCGGTATGCATACATGGATTCTCGCTTCACTTCCATAGAGTCTCATTTATCCACAATGGGAGCTCAACAATTGGAGATTCTCCGGGAGAAGCGCGCGAACAATGCTTCTATGAATGAACGCATTAATGCACTCTCGCACATGAGATGGCCACTATGCGAGCTCATTTTCCTCCTCCCGATCCTCATACGGATGCTTGATTATTTGTCATGCTTTAGTACTTTGAAATAGGACTTAGAGATTATTGTTTCAACATTTTTGAACGACTTTGGATTGTTTTTAAGTTTGATTGTTGGATGTTTGAATTTGGTTGATGTTTTATGGATGTTTGAACTTATATTTCTATATATTTGGTTTGATTAAATTTATTCATTATTGCATCATTTAAATCATGTTAGATATATGATCAATTTCACCATATCACATTGTTTATGAATATTGATTATGAAACTAATGGCTAACGTTTCTCTTGATTGTGATCTTAACAGCTTAAGCTATATTTAAATTTTTTTAAAAGTCTTTTTGATTTAACAAAAAGGGAGAGAAATGTTAAAGTGTTTTAAAGGGGAGAAGTGTTAGAGTAAGGGGGAGTAATTTCAAAACTTGATTTCAAAATCTTAAAATTACTAAAATGTTTTGTTATATCAAAAAGGGGGAGCTTGTTGAAAACATTTTGATATTTAGATATAACAAATTAAGTTAAATGAATTTTAAGATTTTCTAAAAGATTTTCTAAAGTATATTCGATATAATTATTCGAATATCAAAAATATTACTCCAAATCTTTCAAATGTCATTTTTAATCCTTACTCAAGTGTAAAATTAAGTTTTAATCTTAAAATAATTTCAAAAACAATTTTACAAAATATTTCGAACTATTTCAAAGCAAAAAATTCCAGATTGCTCAGAGGGAACTGATTCTCCCTGAATGGTTTGGCTCCGAAAAAAACAGAATGCTCGGAGGGAATCGATTCCCCCTGTTTAACGATCAAAATATTTGAATTTTACACTTAGGGAACCGATTCCCCCCACGCTCCAAGTTATTTTATTAATTGATTTCACACTAAAATGACTCTATTGACTCCACTAATCATCCCCAACGTTTAGAATCATTTGAAGATGTATTTAAACAAGCTTAGAAGCCATTGATCAATAACAAGAAACAACAATCAACAAGAATCAAGAGAGAATCAAAGAGAAAGCATCAAACCTCAAGTTTGAGTATTTTCAAGCCTATTTCATTCAATATTCATTTTTGCTTTCAAGAACACTTATTGTGCTCAATTGTATTATTCTTGAGTGTTCTTTCTTTGTTCTAGAATTGTGCAAACATCTTGCCTTGTGAGGATTTTCTTGTAAGCTTGCAAAATTTTTATTATTCTCTTTGGGAGAGAGTGTTCTCAAGAATTTGGGGTATAATTCTTGAGGGATTTGTAAGGTTACTCTTTGTCCTCAAAAGAAAGACAAATTAGTGAATTTGTGGAAAATCCTTAGTGTGGATAGCTAAGGTAGTGAAAGTAGACTTTGGTTGAGAAAGTCGAACCACTCTAAATCGCTGTGCAAATCTTTTCAATTTTCTGCAAAGCTTCCACCGAAATTTTTATTTACCAATTCACCCCCTCTTGGCCAACTCCATCGATCGATTAACTCAACAATTTATTTTAACAAAAATTAATATAATGAAATAGTAATATTCAAGGATGTGAAATTACCATTGTAATAGACAGATAGGTTCATTTATAACCACAAACATTCTAGATTGTTAATTTTGAATCTATTTGATGATCAAAATAACCAAAAAAATATTAGTATTCTTAAAATTTTTATATTAGAATAATTGTGACTACATGGTATACATGTATTATAAATCGGCTAAATTTTCTTTTAAATAGACACTAAAACCATTTCAAACTATTATAAAAGTAGATTATTAATTTTCCTTTTACAAGTTTTCGCTTGATTTTGTATCATCACATTTTATTTGTTTTATTTTAACTTCTAATTCTGGAGGATTTAAATTTATATTAAATAATTTAATTTAAAATATATTTTGGCTTTTACATAAATTTTAATTCAAAATTTTATGTCTTTATTTTTTATATAATTAATAAATTTTCAAATTTTAGTTTTAATTCAAAATAAAGTTGTAAAAATGAGGGTAAATAAATATAAAGTGTGAAGAAAGAAGGAGATAAAATAATTACAGTAAATCTTAGAGTGGAATGAAAATATGATATTTAAAAAGCGGTGGTGAATACATGGGCCAGGTACAAACAGAAGCCGAGCAATACCCCCCCACTACCCACATAGATCACCAACTTTCAACTTACAAACGCATATTTATTTATAGTTTTTATTAAATTAATTACCGTCTTTTATTTCCATAATATTTTTAATATTTAAGTAAATAATCATTTTAATTTTTAACTTTTAAAGAGTATTTTTGTCTCTAACATTTTATTTTTTGACAAAATACTCTAATATTTGACTTAATAGTTATTTTAACCCTTATTTATTTTAAAAATATTTATTTCTATTTTTTAGTAAATTAATCGTCTTTTATTTAAATAATTGATTATTATATAATGAAATATCAAAAATTATTTCTAATATTTAATTAAATAATCATTTTAATCTTTAACTTTTTAAAAATCTTTTAGCTTCTAACATTTTATCTTTTAACAAAAATATTCAAATATTTGACTAAATAATTATTTTAACCTTTATTTTATTTTTTTGGAATATCTTTACCCATAATGTTTTAGTTTTTAATAAAAATATATAACATTTAACTAAATGTTTACTTTAGTCCTTTTTTTATAAATATTTTAGCCAACAACACTTCAGTCACAAAAATCTATAATTTAAAATGAAAATTATTTATTGAATAACGATTTTCATATAAAAAAGTATTTTTACATATAAAATAAAATATTATAGGCTAAAATATTTTTAAAATATCAAGATTAAAGTAATTAGAATTTATTGCATTATATGTCTCCAAATTATAACTCCTATTTTAAATTGGTCATTAAACTTTTGAGGATTTTAATTTAATCCTCAAACTATAACCTTCATTTTAAATTAATCCTTAAATTTTTAAACATTCTTATTTCATCCCTAAAATATGAATCTCTTTCTAAATTGGTCTCTAAACTTTTGAATATATCAATTTCATCTCTAAATTCATCCAAATATGTAACTAATTTCAACTATAGTTTAACCTAAAATTTATTTTTTAAAACATATAATAATATAACTTAATCTAACGATTTTATTATCAAGAGATGTGATTATTATATATGTATAATTTGAGATTAAATCAGAATATTCAAAAAAAAGTAGGGATCAATTTAAAATTGAGGACATAGTGTGAAAATAAAATTAAAATGTTGAAAATTTTAGGAATAATTAAACAAAGAAAGTAGCAAAAATAGAATAGGGAGGGGTAATATATTAAATGGAGGAAGTGAGTGATGTGTGACAACAAACACGAGACTTGTCTCCTCATCCCGAAGAAGAAGAAAGCAAATCCAACAAATACAAAGCAAATAAAAGAGTGTTGGACTGATTATTTCCCATTCCCATATCTTTCTCTCTCTCCCTATCTATTATATGAGAAACCAGAGGAAGATGAAGTGATTTGATGTTGATGAGCTTTTCATTCATTACTCATTTCTATTTCCTCATTCATTACGTTTCTTCTTCAAACTTCTTTACACGCTATAATGGCCGTTCAAGCTCAATACCCTTCCAATATCCTCTTCTTAAACAGGTTTGTTCTTTGCATCTTCTTCTCTCTGCCTCTTTAATAATAATTTCTTAGTTTTTCGTCTTCTTTTTCCAGAGGTGGAGGAGAGGGGCATGAATTATCATTGCAGCAACAAGCAGGTGGTGCTTTTCTCAATCAATCCCATATGTTGTTCAACAATACAAATAGTATTAATCCCAGGAAAAGAGCAAGGGAAGTTACAGCAATCAATTCGTTTTCTTTGCAAATGCAACCGCCGCAGTTGATAGAGCTTTCCCAGCTCCACCGGCCAAATGTCGTCTCCACCGGCCTCCGATTATCTTTCGGCGACCAAAGACAACAAAGTCTGAATCAAAATATTCAAGACCAACAACAACAAAATCTTGTTTCCAGCTCCACTGGTTTTTTGTCCGATGATTTGGCTGCCCAAATCAAATATCAGAGAGAAGAACTGGACCAATTTCTTGAAGCCCAGGTACCCCTTGTTCTCTTTCTTTCAATTGGGTTATCGTTGCTTTTTTTGTTTGTGTTTGGGAAAATGGAACGTATCTTTTTTGGGTTTTATTATAGGGAAAAGAATTACGCCGTACGTTAGCGGAGAAAAGGAATAGGCACTTCCACGCGCTTCTGGTGGCAGCGGAAGAATCGGTGGTGAGGAGGCTAAGGCAGAAAGAAGCAGAAGTGGAGAAAGCAACGCGCCGGAACGCTGAGTTGGGGGCACGCGCAGCGCAACTAAGCGTGGAGGCGCAGGTTTGGCAAGCGAAGGCCCGGACACAGGAGGCAACGGCGGTTTCGTTACAAGCGCAGCTCCAGCAAGCTAGCGGGGCTGCGTTGGCACAAAATAGCAAGAGAGGAGATGATGGGTTACAGAGCGGCGGAGGAGTGGAAGGGCAGGCGGAGGACGCCGAATCGGCTTACGTGGACCCCCAACGGATGGCAGTTTCGGGACCGTCTTGCAAGGCGTGTAGGACACGTGTCGCCTCCGTGCTGCTGCTTCCGTGTCGGCATCTTTGCCTTTGTACAGAGTGTGATCGAGTGGCGCAAGCTTGCCCGCTTTGCCTCGCCGTTCGGGATTCTAGCGTTGAGGTTTTTTTTTCTTAATTAAAAAAATCAAAATAACCGTGGAGTATAATAATAATTTTTGGAATTTTCTCTACCTTTTTTATTTAATTTCCTTTTTGGGGTCTGTTAGTTATTAGTTTTTTTACCAAAGACCCATAAGTTTTACCTTTTTCTTCTACTTGCTTCACAATATACATGGGCCACTTGGGTAGTGGCATGTCTTTCTCTTTATCTACTCTTCTTTTTTATTTGTTTTTGGATTTTTAATCCATATATATAAATTCTTTGATTATGATTTTAATATTTGAGACTTTATTGTTGTTAAATACGTTAATAATTTTGATTTACTTGTTTTGGCATGGAAGAAATGTTTAAACTATTTAGGAATTCAATTTTTTTAATGGGTGTTATCGTACTGTAATACATGTTCAGTCCATCTCTGATGTAGACTTTGCTGAAATAATTGAAAAGTAATGTAACAATTTTTTATGATATGTGTTGATTATAAAGTAATATATGTTTATAATTTTTAAATCTATTGATAATACGTATACATCTTGTAGATGTCATTAATTGAACTGAAACCTTTAAAAAAAAGTACATTATTTTTTATCACTAAAATCATTTAGAACAGTTCAACCATGTAACAACTTTGTTTTGCTTAGTAGTGCCAAAAACATGAGTTCAGGGATTGCCTTTGATTATGAGTTGGATCAAAAGATTGGCAATAGTTTGTCCTAACATTTTCTCTCTGACTTGAAAAAGGCGGAAGAAGAAATAGTGGTGTCCACAGTCCACTAATATATTGGAAACCCAAATGAGCATATTTGGTTCAAATCATATGATCCAAGTGGTGACAGTCAATGGTGTTACAGAGATGCATAATGTCTCCATTATAGGCCTCAACTACCACGATAGCGGGTTTTAAATTGTTGCCTTTTGGAGGCAAATCACTTCAAAACGTGCTTCCCTGTTTCGTAAAGGATCTTAGCATATCATATGCAACCCTGTTCGTCGTGGTCAGTGTCAGATTAAATCAGGGATGATCTGGCGGCGTAGATATCTAAGACATTCGTTTATTGAAAATTTTAAATTATTATTTTGTGTTATTTTTATTAATAATATATTTTCGTACCTTAAAATTTTATAGATTCTTATCTTAAAAATTTACCCATTAACATAAATTTATGCATCTGTTCGTGATCGAGTGGCTGGTGTCCAACATCAATATACTTGCATTCTTATCACAATTTTTTTTCCTAGGCAGACGTTCCCCAATATGGCTTGGTGCAATCAAGGGGTCTCATTTTGCAATCCAACTCTTACAAATTATATGAAGCACCCAGTTTTCTAATTTGATGCTTCAAGTTGAAGTCATTGCATATGCCACTTTGGGTTTGGTCCCATGGCAACTACTACCGAAGATGCTGAAAAATTGCTATTGGCCCCATAAACGTATTCGTATATACATATTGATTGTCATAAAGTATAATGCATCCAAACCACAGAAGATATAGGCTGCAATGTCTAAAGCAAATAATTCAAGAAAAAGCTAAATCCCTCAAGATTTGAGAAAATCACATATAGCAACTGAGAGATAGATGTAATAGGTTGCATAAATGAAGGCCATCAATATTTCCGTTTCTTTGGGTCAGTTTTTGAGACAATCCAGTGGATTGTATTCATGTCTTTTCTGCAAGTTCACAAATTTCTCTTCTTTTTTACATAAATTCATGGCCAGCCAGAGTCCATGGAGCATGATGGTAAGATTATGAGGGACAAGCAGTAGAGGTGCCTCATTGTCACTTCCTCTTTTTTCATTTATTTATGGATTTCACTTTACTAAGTTGGAATTGTCAAGACTGGGGGGGAATCAAGTTCCCAAAGATTCTTAAAGAATACATGCAGGATTAAAATCCAAATATGGTTGCTTTACTTGAACCTCGTATTAGCGGGAATGTTGCGGAGAGAGTTATTGGTAAACTTGGCTTTGAGAGATCTTTTGGAGTGGAAGCGACCTGCTTTTCCGGTGGGATTTGGCTCCTCTGGAATTCATCGATTTTGGAGGATATCATTGCTGCTCATTCTCAATACATTCATGCATTTATCTCAGGCAGTTCAATATCAAGCCCTTTTTTATTGACTATTATTTATGGGAACCCAAATGCTAGTAAAAGGAGGGCTCTCTAGACAGACCTAAGAAGTCAGAATACACGTAGAGCCCCTTGGATCTTAGCTGGGGATTTTAACGCTATTTTTAATTGTGCAGCTAAAAAAATGGGGTACTTGTAAAGGGACCGGGTGTAAGTGGTTCCAGAATTTCTTGGGCAGTAATAAGCTTTTGAACCTCCGTTCACCTGGTCTCGGGGAGGGGTGTCTGAAAGGCTTGATAGGATGGTGGCCAATGAAGCTTGGATCAAGGCTGCTCCTAATTCGATCATTTATCACCTTCTCAGAATCAAATCGGATCATCGTCCCATTCTTCTTCAGACTAGGGACACCAAACTCAGTATTGTAATAGACCATTTCGGTTTATGGCTGGATGGACCAAGCACCCTAATTTCAGCACCTTCGTTTGGGAGAACTAGAATTTTGATGGGAACATTAGCCACTCGGTTAGTAGCCTCTCTGAGTCCCTTAAAGTCTGGAATAAAAATGTGTTCGGTCATGTTATTCAGGAGAAGCGGAATCTTAAGAAGAAACTCGCTTCTATTCAAGCGTCCATGGATCATCACGGTTCTCATTGGTATGATGAAGAGTTGAGACTATGCACTAAGCTTGATGAATTCCTTGACCAGGAAGAGACTATGTGGAAACAGAAGTCCTACGATACTTGGATTGCGGAGGGTGACCGTAATACGAAGTATTTTCATAGTCGTGCCCTTATCCGACGGAAAGCAAACCGTATTATAGCTTTCTGACTGGGTAATGGGGACTGGTGTTCTGATGATGCTACTCTCCGTAATGAAGCTACTTCTTTTTTTTCTAAACTTTGCTATGATGAGGGAGGTAGATCAGGGGAGTTTCCGATCAAGGGAGCTTTCCAGCGCCACTTGGAGACCGACTATCATTTTTTTGATGCCCCAGATACTGATGAGGAAGTTAGAATTGCCTTGTTCGAGATGAGTCCTCTTAAATCCCCGGGGTGGATGGTATGAATGCCCTTTTTTTCCAAAGTAGTGGCAAATTGTCAGTCCTTCGATTTGTGCTTGGGTTAAAGACATTTTTATGGGCAAGCCTTTTGATCCGGAGATTAATAAGGCTTTACTTGTTCTGATCCCGACGAAGAAGTGTCATGAGGTTTTTGTGGATATTCAGCCTATTAGTTTGTGTACAGTCCTGTACAAGCTCATTATGAAAATTATTGCTAATAGGTTCAAAATTGTCTTCCCAAAGATCATTGTTCCTAACCAAGCGAGTTTTATAGCTAGCTGCAGCATTAACGACAACATTTTGGTGGTCTAGGAAGTTATTCATTCGATGTGGAAGAAAAAAGTTAAAGTGGATTTGAAGAAAGCTTATGATCGGGTTGCTTGGGACTTCCTTTCAGACTCTCTCTTGGTTATGGGATGCCCTACTCGCTTGCATAACGTTATAATGCAATCTGTCACTTCCTCGAGCATTCAAATTCTCTGGAATGGCTCTTTGTCAAGGTTGTCCCCTATCTCCTTACCTCTTTGTTCTTTGTATGGAACGCCTTGGGCAAAGTATATGCTATGCGCAAAACATGGACCTTTGGGAGTCTATGGTCTTATCGAAAGAGGGACCCCATTTATCACATCTTTTCTTTGCGGATGATTTCTTGTTGTTCACTTGTTCTGCAAGGCTACCTCTAGTCAAGCACTTCTTACCCGGGTCATCTTCGATCAATTTAGCAAATTCTTAGGTCACAAGGTGAACTCTAGCAGAACCAAAGTCTTTTTCTCTAAAAACATGCCTGAACTTCTGTCCACTGAGTTGTGCTCTCTCTTGGGGTTCCAACGCTCCTCTAAGTTGGGATCTTACCTGGGGATGCCTCTTTCTCTTGACAGAGTGATGAAGAGTACTTTCCATTTAATTGTGGAAAAAGTCCAGGCAGAGTTGAATATGTGGACAGCTTCTAAGCTATCCCTAGCTGGCCAAATTACGCTTGCAAAGTCGACCCTCTTGGTTATCCCTAACTATTTCGTGCAAACGGTAGCCATCCTAAAAGGGACCTATGAGTCCATGACAAAATTGAGATAATTGCTCGACATTTCATTTGGGATGGTACAACTGATCATCCAAAAATGTCTTTCGTTAACTGTGACACTTTTTGTCAACCTTCAGATCATGGGGGTTTGGGTATTCGTCCGCTTCGAGCCCAAAACGAAGCGTTCTTGATCAAGCTCGGTTATAATCTTCTTATGCACCCTAATAATCTTTGGGTCAGGATTTGCCGCTCGAAATACAAAATGAGAGAACTTTTGCCTCACCAACTTGTCACTTATAATTGCTCTTTCGTGTGGCGTTCCCTCTCTAAGGTTTGGGGTTTCATTTGCAATAATTTGATGGTCTGTGGGTAATGGTCAAAGTGTCAAAATTTGGACGGATTCTTGGATCCCGGGAGAAGGGCCACTTGTGTATCATGCAAACAATGCTAGTTTGTGTGACCCGAATGCTACATTGCACGAGATGATTAATAATGATGGTAATTGGGATTTGGACAGAATTAAGCCTTTTCTTGATGAGAACCTCATCCGCAACATTACTGCCATTCCTCCCTCTATTAGTGAGGCCGGTGATGATTACCCCACGTGGTTGTGGGAACCGTTGGGCAGGTGCACGGTAAGACCGCTTACCATGAGCTCCGACATGCCGTTTGGAACTGTAGAGACATTGCGTGGAACCTGGCCTGGAACTTTGATGGCCCCCAGCGCATTCGAAATTTCATCTGGCTCGTTTTGAGAAACCGGATTAAAATCAATATGGAAAGAGTTAGACGGGGCATTGATTCGAATTCCCATTGTCCGATGTGTGGGGGTAGTGAAGAAACCATTATCCATTTACTCCGGGACTGTGTAGCGGCCAGGAACACGTGGTTACAAGTCTTGCCGGCGTGTAAAACAGGGAGTTTTTTCTCCATTCCTCTTTTTGAATGGTTAGAATCTAACCTTAATGATAATGCAGGTATTGTTGATGGACAGTATTGGTGGAGGCATATGTTCGGGATCATGCTCTTGAGAATCTGGAAACAACGCTGCAATCTTGTCTTTAGTGGAGTTAGCCGGTC